GCTTTTTAAAAATGGGGAGTTGACAAAAATGCAAAATAGATGAGTGGCTGCCAGGGATTAAGGAGGAGGCGGGGGGCCAGAGGAGAGTGGGTGTGATTGTAAAAAGGAAACAGATGGGATCTCAGGAGATGAAAACATGGGGCATCTCAGCTGTGTGTGAGTACCCTGCTACCTGTGGCGCTCTAGTTCTGCAAGATGTTACCCCAACCACGTAGAGTACCTGGGACCTTTCTGTGTGATCTGTTCCAAGTTGCCTGTGAATTACCTAAAAATGAAATGGTTGCCAAGTGGCAAGGCCTTGAATGCTGGAGGTCCTGTGATCTAGCGGGTTCACAGTCTGGAGCTCTGGCTCCCGGCTTTTCCCTGGTCGGGGCCTTTTTCATGACAGCTCAGTGGCCTCTCAGCACTCGGGAGGGCCGCCTGGGCCACCATCAGGCCCCTCAGCTGGTGAGAGCACAGGAATGAGACCGAACGTGTGCTTGCGCTTCAGCCGGCCCGGGAGCAGGTGCAGCGGCGCCCGGCTCCCCACGCAGCCCATGGTGATGCTCCCACCGCAACACGGCGAACGTCCCATCTGTGTCCCAGAGACACTGCAAATGACTGTTTACTGGGTCACTGAGTCTTGGGGTTTCTTCCAAACTCAGAAAAGCAAAGGGTCCACCCAGTTTGAACCCTATGCCTACCAAAACTGTTCATTCCTTTTCCGGATTTTGACAATGAAATCTCTTAACTGTCAATCAGCTCTTCGGTCAGTAGAATAGAATTGGTATTCTGTGAAGGGTTAATAAGATGGTTGATGACAAAAAAACATATCTATCAGGCTTTTCAAAATCTTGAAAATAGCTGTAAGACAACTCCACCCTCCCTACCCCCTTACTTCAACCAGGCATTGATGGCAGGGAAGGGAGCACACACTCTTCCATGTTGATTGACGTGTGGCTAATAACTCTCCTACCCCCATTCCGTGGGGATACTTTTTACCATTTTAGAGTCTTGCTTTCCTCCCCTGAAGCATCTAAGGCTCAGCTGCACATCTGCTGGGAGCCGCCAGCACAGCTCCGGACTTGCCTCTGCCTCCCAGGCGCCCGCCCACAGCCAGCCCGGCGCCGCTGCCCCTGGCCGGCGGGTCTGTAAAGAAACAGCTGCACCGGCAGTGCGGATCCCGCTGCTGTGGGACACCACGGCGAAGGGGACAGGCGCCGGCCCAGAGCTTTATTTTCCATATACTGATGTGGCACAGATGCCTCCTCACAGCCCTGCTGCTGGGCAGCGTGTCTGGACCCCACATCCAACATCTGTAGGATTCTGTCAGGTGGAGGGAGAGAAGACCCCATACCCAGACCCCATGACCTAAAACCTTGTCCTCACAGGCAGGGTTTACAGGATGGCACATGGCTTCCAGGCCCACCCAACCTCTCCCGCCTCTCAGTGGAGGCCAGGCGACAAGGACCCAGGCCCTGGGGAGGCCAGGCAACAAGGACACGGGCCCTGGGGAGGCCAGGAAAAAGCCTCCAAGGTTAGCCAAACACGAGGGCTCGGCGATCCTTCCCGAGGCCAGCTTAGGAGGCAGGCAGCTGCTGGATGGGAGTGCAGGAGCGCGTCTGCCCGCAGACGAACCCCTGGAGCTGCCACTGCAGGAACCCACGAGGGTGCAGAGGCCAGACTGACGAAGCATGGAGGGGCTGTGCGTGAGGGCTGCTGGCCGGGCTGATGCTCGCGGACAGGGCCCCGGCCCCCCGAGGCAGGAAGCACGCAGAGGGGCGGCAGAGGCGGCAAAGGGAGAGACCTCCCCACCCCGGACCCACACACACTCTTCCTCGGGGCACTGCTGTCCTCCCGTAAATGCCTCACATTCCGAAACATCTTCAATCTGGTCCTGACTGGTGTGGCTCAGTGGGCTGGGCATCATCCGGCCAAGTGAAGGGTCGCTGGTTTGATTCCTGCTGGTCAGGGCACGCGCCTGGGCTGCCAGCCCGATCCCCTACTGGGGGTGCGGGAGAGGCAACCGATCGACGTTTCTCTTCGAAAACTCCCTCTTTCTTCCTCCCAGCCGCCAAAAATGAATAAAATCTTAAAAAAAGAATCCTAAATCTGTGGAGGATCCAGTCCACGAGTGCCAGACTCTCCCGGGAGAGCCTCCAAGCACCGGACGATGCAGCAGCTCCCTTGTTGCTGCCGTAAACAAACCCCCCACCCGGGGGTTTAACGGAGCACAAGTGTATGGCTTCACAATTCTAGGGGTCCAAGGTCTGGTGCTGGTCACACAGGACGAACATGACTTATCTGCTGACGATGCCCCTTTCCGGAGGCTCCGGAGAACCTTCTTCCTACCGCGCACCCTGGCAGCCGAGTTCCGTTGCCTGCAGCTGCAAGAGGGATGGAGGTCCCCACGCTCTTCCGGGCTGTAAAGCAAGGGCCGAGACCGGTCCCTAAAAGCCACTGCATTCCTTGGCTCCCAGCCCGCTTTCTCCGCCTCCGAAGCCAGCGCAGGCGGGCGGGCGGGGGGGCAGAGTCCTCGGGGGGCATCTCCCAGACGATCCTCATCCGCCTTCCTTGTCTGCCATCCCCCATAAGGACTCGTGTGACCACACTGGACCCACCCGGTGACCTGCCACTTCAACACATTTAACTTTCATCACATCCGCAGAGTCCCCCGGGCCAGGTGAGGTAACTCTTCAGATTCTAGGGGTCAGGGCGTGGACATCCTGGGGAGGACATTGTCCTCCTGGCCGCCCACCTTAACCTAAAACGGTGAAAGCCGGGGCTCAGGGCAGCTGGATGACTTGCCGCAGGTCGTGAAGTAAGTGGTCAAACCAGGCCTCGAACCCAGACCTCTGCCTCCCAGTCCACCGCTCTTGACATCCCAGTGGCAGCCACAGCTACAGTCTCCCCTTGGCCAGCGCACACCCCAGGGCTGCCAGCCAGCGCCCCAGACTCGGGGTGGGACCGAAGCCCTCGGGCACAGATGTGTTTGGGGGTACGGGGAGCCTTGTTTCCTCCCCAGGGAACGGCCCTGGCCCCCGATGCAGTTAGAGGGGAGAGAGGGGTGCTGAAAGGTGACCAGGTTTGAGGCCTAGTCACCACCCTAAGAACCAAAGGAAGAACAGGGTTCAAAACTGACAGGTCACTTGCACCCTAAACTCTCTCTCCACCCCCAAGTGTATGACCCTGCCCATGTCCACGCACGCTGCTGCCTCCTAGGACAAGGGGGACCACTGTCCCTTTGGGTTCCAGAGGCATGAAAAATAGGGGACATCCAAATCAAAATCCTTGGCACGACAGTGGAATTACTATAGAAACTTGAGACAGCTCTTCTCTCCTGGGGTGACATTCTTGCTGCATCGCTGCCTCATGGCCTAATCTGTGTCCACGGCAACCTGGGCCGACCAAGGACCAAGCAGCTTGGAGCGCTCTGCTCCAAAAGCAAAGCCTCCCAGAGTGAGGCAAGGGACGGGGTGGCCCAGTTGTTTAGGAGGTGATGGCCATGAGGCCCCTCCCCCCAAAGATGAGGGAGCTGTGGAGGTACCTGCAGGTGACAAGTGTACGCCCCCCACGCCACAGCACCCCTGCCTGGCCTGGGTAGGCCCTTTGGATCCTACCTGGGCTGCCCCTCCCCTGGCCAACACCCCAGCCTGTGAACACCTCGCAGCATTCTAAGCGCTGTCCCTTCAGGCCCAGACACACAAAGGCTGGCCTGTGTGGAAGCAAACAAGCCTTTTGGGAGGCAGGTGACCAGCTCCCCACCCCTCAGGGAAGCAGCCATGGGCAGCAGCTGAACTTGACACGAGATCCAGGCACTGGGCCCCACAGGCATCACGGGACACCACACAAGAAGGCCAGGAAGGGCTAGACAGAGGGAGAGCAGGGTCCGCCTTGAGCTTCTGTTAACGTGAGTCAGGAAACGAGAGCCCTGCAGAGGCGGCTTCGGGGAGATGTGTGTTCCGATGCCCAGGGCCTCGAGCCAACCACACCCCAGAGCCCTTCGGCTCTCACCTGGCAGCTCTGCCCTCCGTCCCGGCCCCTGGAGTCCTGGCAGCCTTGGCCCCACGGGGGACACTGGCCCGGTGTCTGTTCAGAAGTCACCCAGCTCACCCCAGCAAAGAGAACGCAGGGGAGAGCAGAAGCTGTCCTCCAGGGGTGGGGGCGGCAGGCCTGAGAGTTCCTCCCAGACATGAAGTCAGGACTCCGCTCAGCGAGGCGCATCACCCAGCTAAGGAGGCTCCCCCAGGCCCCCAGGAAGGGCCCTGGGGATGGAAGAGCAGCAAATCCCCCAAGCTAAGAAGGGGAAGGGACAGAGAAGCAGCAGGGATCATGAGAAAGCCGTAAGTACTTACAGATACAGCGATAAAAGGAAGGGGCCCCTGGAGTCGCATTAAAAAGCAACACACTAGAGCCCTGGCTGGCGTAGCTCAGTGGATTGAGCTCGGGCTGCGAACCAAAGTATCACAGGTTCGATTCCCAGTCAGGGCACATGCCTGCGTTGCAGGCCACGGCCACCAGCAACCGCACATTGATGTCTGTCTGTCTCCCTCCCTCCCTTCCCTCTCTAAAAATAAAAAAATTAAATCTTAAAAAAAAAAAAAAAGCAATACACTAAACTGCCCCGCCCTCCAACCGAGAAAGGCAGCGGCCCCTGAGAAATGGCTGGAGCACAGTGCCCAGCGGGAAGGCTGCCCCCAACTGGGGACAGACAGAAACACTCGTGGCCCTGAGCCTGGCACGACCAGCAGCGCTAGAGAAGGTGAGCGTGCAAGGCTGCCCAGTGACTGCAGGCTTCGTCTTCCCAAGAAGCCAGAAAACATCCCAGCACACGACAGCATGCGGAGGAAGGGGCACTCCCGGCCAGCGAGGAGAACGGCTGAGCACACGGGACCGCCCACCGGCAGGCAGCCAGTGGGACCCCGAGGTCGGCCGGGCCCCCTTCTCCACCCACCCACCAGCAACCTCGGCTCAAGCGTGGAGGCAGAAGCCCAGGGCAAAGTCACCGTGAGTTTCTGAGGCAAGATTTAAATAGACTTTATTGTTACAAGGGGGGTCCTACCGAACAGGGCCTTATAAACTGAAATGTGTGGTCCCAGGATGTCCCGATGGAGAAATCAAGAGGTCACGATCTTGGAAGAGGTCACTGTAACTGAAGGACGGGATCCGGGGGGCCGGCTGGGAATGTAGCAGACATCATCAGGACGGGCGGGGGTGGTCGGGTCCCAGGGTGAGGGCGAGGACAGCCCCTTCATTCCCCCTTCTTGTAGCTCTCCAGGTGAGACAAGACCCAGCCGGCCGGCACGAGGATGCACAGGAAGCAGGAGGTGAGCCCGATGGCGACATCCTACACAGAGCACAAGAAGGAAGGAAGCCCCGGGGTAAGGCATCCCCCAGGCTTCCGGCTGTCTGAGCAGCCTTCCCAGGCAGCCCAGCGGAAAGCCCCCCCTCACTGAGTGAAGACTCAGGCTCCAAAGGGAAGAAACAGCAGACCCAAGGCCCCCTCCAGGCCAAGGTCAAGGGTTGGATAAGGAAGCAGGGACCCGCCAGGGTTAGACTCCACGGGGAAATCCACCATCATTTAATAAAGGGAAGAGATGGGAACAAGGATTTAAACCTGCTTATGGCTGGTCTGTTGGGACTCAGGGACCTTGCATGGACTGATAATTCTAAAAATGCACCTCCCCTTCCTTGCCTTAAAAACCCTTCACCGCCCTGGCTGGTGTGTCTCAGTGAACTGGGTAATGGCCTGTGAACCCAAAGGTCGCCGGTTCCATTCCATCAGGGCACCTGCCTGGGTTGCAGGCCAGGTCCCCCGTAGGGAGCAGAGCACACAAGAGGCAACCATGCATTGATGTGTCCCTTTCTCCCCCGCTTCCCTTCTCTCTAAAAATAAATAAAATTAAAAAAAAACCTCCCTTCCCATCTCCTTTCCAGGACTCCTATGGAACCTTTGGGGTTTGTAGGGATAAAAGGCTTCCTACAGCCATTTCCATATTCTCTGTAGTAGCGAAGGTCACAGCAAAACTTGGGAGTCACACTGGAGTCCCAATCCCTTCTTTGCCACTGAAGGGTGCGACTTTTGACAAGTCGACACACTGCTCCTAAGTTCCAGTACCGCCCCATGGAGTAAGGGCCCTTTCCCCTCCGGCCACTGGGAGGGCTGACTGAGACCGGCCCGGCAGCGTCAGCACGGTGCCTGGCGCGCCCCATGCGCGCAGCGGGTGTCAGTTCTCAGCCGCAGCGACCTCCCGGATCTGCTCTCGGCTACAGGCCGGCTAACCGGGATGCCGAAGACTTGCATTCAAGGCCGGGCGCTGCCGCTAAGGCAAGGTATAAAGGCGCCCAACAGGAGAAAGTTGTCCTTAAGCATTAAATCCTCCTCTGTTTCTGGGAATTCCAAAGACCTGCTGGGTATTCGCTGCCCCCTACCCTAATCATTCATCGCGGCAGCAATTACTAGCGTCGTTGACGAAGTGCCACCCCCATTACTTTCTACAACACCACGGCACTCTCCATAGTTTCCCACGAAGTGCTCGCTAAGGCGCCCCAGTGAACCGACCGACAGGCTGAGACCACGGCACCGTCCCCCGCGCCCTCCGGGCACGCCCAGGCCAGCGCGGCAGCTCCCCGCTACGCGGCGAGCAGCGAGGCGCAGGGCGTTCTCGGAGCCGCCGAGGTCCGGCGCGCCAGACCGGGCCGGCCCCGAATCCGCCGCGGGGCTCGCGGGCCGGCCTGCTCCTCACCATGGTCCCGAGCGGCTCCCGCGGAGGCTTGGAATGGACCTGGGCGCGCGGCACCAGGAGCCGCCGGGCCGGGCCCGTTAGGCCCCTCAGCAGCAGCGGCGTCAGCGCAGACATGACCGCACAGGACGGACGGTAGACGGATACCCGTCAAAGTCCAAGGTCGGGAAGTCAAAATGGCGGTCCCGGCCGGATTTCCGGAGTTAGGGCGCCCGGATAAGGGAGGACCGGAAATATCACGGAAATGACGAAAGGATACACCTCCCGCCCGCTCTTGTCAGTTTTTGGCGCGTTCCTCGAAACAGCCAATCGACGCCACCCTACAACCGATAGGCGGGACGTGGAAAGGCGTCCTTAACGGTCATGCTCCGCCCCCAAAGCGGACTATCTTCGTGATGGACGTCTGTGCTCACCCTATCACATAAGTAGAAACCTAGAGGGCACTCTTGACTCCTCCCCCCATTCATACCGTACTCAAATCTCTCTATTCAGAAACCCTCCCTCTCCGCCAAGCCTCCATTATTTCTGGCCAGAACGCCTGACACTAACCTCCTAAATTAACTCTCCTCTTTTACTCTCTCTAATCCCGGTCTCCACGCAATGGCAACCCACCTTCTTGCCTTCCTCCCTTCTCTCTACATCCCTTCCTCCCTTATTTTTAAACATAAATCTAACCAAATCACACACCTACTTAAATGCTTACTAGACCACGTCCCTATTTCTGGGTATCACTCTCCGGCCTCATCTCTAAATATTCCACACCTTCCTCCTTGTCCACTGGTCCTCCCCACCTCTCCACCCCACCCTGCCCCAAGCCTTTTGCTTCTTTTTATCTTTTTTTTATATCCATAGGGTTGGCCAAAAAGTTCGTTGTTTTTTTTTTTTCCCATACGATGGCTCTAGTAATGCTTAGTTGTCTTTAACTTCATTTGATAAAATTTTGTTAGATTGTACTGTGGCAACTGTCGTATCAGTGTGTATTAAAAAACTGTCAAAATTAGTGAATTTTTGTGCAGCCATTTTAATATTGAAAATGGAAGAAAATACACATTTTCGGCATATTATGCTTTATTATTTCAAGGAAGGTAAAGACACAACTGAAACACACAAAAAAGATCTGTGCACTGTATGGAGAAGTCGTGACTGATTGAATGTGTCTTGGTACTATCAACATTCTGGCCAAATAATTCTTTGCTGTGGGGCCATCTTATGCGTTGGAAGATATTTAGCAGCACCCCTGGCCTCTACCACTAGAAGCCAGTAACAGGAGATAGCCTACATACTCAAAATATCTAAATCAGTTAAGTTATTGGTGAAAATGAAAAATAAGCCCTGGTTAGTGTAGCTCAGTGGATTGAGTGTGGGCCTGTGAATCAAAGAGTAACCGGTTCAATTCCCTGTCAGGGCACATGCCTGGGTTGTGGGCCAGGTCCCCAGTAGGGGGCACACAAGAGGAAACCACACATTGATGTTTCTCTCCCTCTCTTTCTCCCTCCCTTCCCCTCTGTCTATAAAAATAAATAAAATCTTTTTAAAAAATAAAGAAAGAGCCCTGGCTGGTATGGCTCAGTGGATTGAATGCAGGCCTGTGAATCAAGGGGGTGCTGGTTCAATTCCCAGTCAGGGCACATGCCTGGGTTGCAGGCCAGGTCCCCAGCAGAGGGTGTGTGAGAGGCAACCACACATTGGCGTATCTGTCCCTGTCTTTCTCCTTCCCTTCCCCTCTCTAAAAATAAATACATAAATAAGAAAGAAAGAGAGGGAGGAAGGAAGGAAGGAAGGAAGGAAGATGTGTCCTTTATTTTATGGAAAAAACTAAATGAATTTTTGGCCAGCGCAATACCCAGAACACTTTTCAACTCTTACCTAGCCTTACTTTTTCAGCACTCCAACCTCCAGGCCTCCACTCATAGCTCATTCAACAAAAATTTACTAGACACCACCCCCCCCCCACCCCCCCCCCCCCCCCCCTCCTGTTCCACCACCACCACCACCACCACACCACCACCACCACCCACCAACCAACAAAAGAAAAGAAAAAGAAAGAAAAAAAACGGCAAAGTATTTAGCAGGCCGTCCTGTGTTCCCGCCGGCGTTCTGGACCCGCGGTGAGCAAGGGCCCATGAACCGCCGTTCCCCAGGGGACAGAGGAAACCAGCGCTTATCGAGGAGCTGCGGAGGGCGCGATGGTGCGACAAGAAGCGATGGGGCAGCACGTTGTCAGTTAGCCCTCCGCCTCTGTACCTGCGCCTCCGCCTCTGTGCCCAGCAGCCCCCGTGCCCCATACAGCTAGTGTCCATCCCACCGCAGGGCGCCACCTGAGGGTAAAGTCTGTCTGGCCCACCGCTGTCCCCAAAGGGCCCGGCACACCTCCGGCACCTAGGCCTTTACGAACCGCAGCGGACTGAGCAGCAGGCGTGAGGCCGACAGGAGCGGGGTGAGGAGCCAGCCGCGGAGCCACCCCAGCCTGGCCTGTGCCATCTCGTTCAGTTTTCTCGGCAGGGGCAGGAGGGGGATGCTATTATTTCAAAAGTTTTTACGATGGTGGAAGTAAGCCCGGAGAACCAGGAGACCTGCCTGCCGAAGGTCGTGCAGCTTCAAGGCTGCCTGGGCAGGACTCCAGCGCAGGGCTGCCTGCCCCAGACCCCGTGCTTTAACCTTCGCCCGAGCTGCTGTGCGGGAGAGTTTCCAGAAGCTCCTGTTTTGATGCCGTGGGCAATAGGATCGAAGGCTGCAGTAGGGTGGGGGTGACCTGGGGTGGCAACGGACTTGGAAGACAGGAGCTTTGGAGAAACCTCAGCCCCTGGGGGCAGGGAGGCTCACAGAAAGGTGGTGATGGAGGCGGACCCAGAGAGAGAGCCCCAGAGGGTGGGCTGGGCCTGAGCTCCCCCTGGAGGAATGGGCGGCCAGGGGAGCTACCCAGAGCCCTCCCTCCCCCGCCCCCACCCTCTGCACCAGCGCTCAGGGGATTGGTAACGTCCAGCAGTCTCTGCCCAGCCCCGCCCCCACCTACCCGGCTCCCTGCCCTCATCCTGTCCCAGACTCCGACAAACAGCCCAGAACAGATTCTTCCAAATCCCTCCTTCCCCATCTCAAAGGGCAGAGCCTAGGGCCATAGGGCAGTCCAGGCCCCAGCTGCCTGCCACTAGGTAGGAAGGGACGGGAACCTCCCGGTTGTCCTACTGAGCTTTGTCAGGTGTGTGTCCTATGAACAAAGAAATAACTCCCAGAGGAGAGCACAGCCAGCCCAGAGGCTGGGAGATGCTTGAGGAAGGGACCGGCCTTCCTGTGGTTCCCTGGGTTACTCCCTGGGGAAACGCATGCCCCTCCTTCACCAGGGGCTGGAGGAGAAGGAGTGACCATCTGTGGAAAAGGAACGTCGGATCCAGGGCTTTGCTCGCGGCCCCTGCGAAGTGTCTTCTCTCAGAAGCACCGTCCGAACGGAAGAAAGAGGCCGGCAGGGATTAAGCACCATCGCCAGGGCAGGGGTGGCGCCTTGGTCTGTTGGATGGACACCGGCATCTCCTCCGCTCTGCCCCCAGCACCCCGGCAGCCCACCCCTCCCAGAGGGCAGAGACAGAGCTTTAACAGGAGAGAAGTGAATGCTGTGATGCTTTACACAACAGAACACTATAGACCGTGAACACGGACAAACCACAGCTACAGCAAGGATGGTTCCCACAGACACAGCGTTGTGTCAGAGACCTGGCGTGTAAGAGCAGACTGTGCGGTCCTACGGATGTAAAGAGCGGCGGGCAGGACCAAGGGGAGGTGTGCACCAGGTAGTGGGGGTCCTGGGGGAAATGGGAAGGCATAGGGACCGGGAGAGGCATGCTGGCACCTCTGGGTGCTGGTTCCACAAACGTGTTCCCTCTGCATTTAGTGCATCTCGAGCGGCTGGACAGTTACAACCCATGCCCATTTCTGCGTGCCTGTTACACCTCAGTGACTGGTTCCAAAACAGACAAGGGAAAAAATGCAATATGATCCTTTCTGTTCTTTAAGATTTTATTTATTTGTAGAGAGAGGAGAAGGGAGGGAGAAAGAGAGGAGGAGAAACCTTGGTCCATTGCCTCTGTCCCACGCTCAGACGGGGGGCGGAGTCTGCAGCGGGGCCTGCGCCCTGGCCGGAGATTGAGCCGGCAGGCACCCTCTGCTTTGCAGAAAAACATCCGACCCAGAGCCGCGCCGGCCAGGGCAGGTCTTGTTTTCCTGGAACAAAGAAACAGCATCTGGAGAACTAGACGTGCATAGATGAAGGCAGAAAGGCACACACACTGTCGACAGTGGCATTGTCTGACGTGGACATTTTTTTTTGTCTTTTCCTCCCATGTTTTCCAAAATTGCGCACTGGGCACTCACAGCAATAGAATAAGCAAGCAAGAGAGGGTTTTCCCTGATCTACCGAGGGTCTTTCTAGTCCCCCAGTCTGTCCCATGGGTGACAGACTCCCTGGGACTCGGGGACCTGAACAGGCTTCCATGGGACAGGGTCTCCTCTGACATCCTGACAACGGCTCTGCCCACGCTTCTGCCCCAGGACTACGCACCGCACTCAGACAGCTGGGAGTCTCTCCCTGCATTGGCGGGGGCACCCAGAGGTCTCAGCCTGGGGTCCTGGTGCCGACCGAAAGACCCAGGCTGGCCCTCCACTCTCTCTCTCCCGAGTGGGGCAGTAGGAACAGGTCTCAGACCTGAGGGACGGCAGGGGAGCTGGTCCCTTCTCCTGAGACCAGCTTCGCGCACCAGCCACCCAGGCCCTGGTGGTCATGTCTGGGCCGGGAAGATCCCAGGTGCCCCTACCAGAGCTGACCCCAGACCCACGGGGGCCAGGCCAGGCTCCGGCCCCACAGCTGCTCTGTCCAGATATGGAGCCTGCGAGTCCTGCGGACGGGCCCAGCCCTACTGGGCCAACAGGTGGAAATCCCTTAGCACCCGCCCCCACCCCCACACACACATATTTTTTGGAGTTTGCCTCCTCCCAGCGCATCTGACACAAAGCTGGTGTGAACCTGTCGAGCAGGTGCCAGGCACTGAGCCCCGGGGCTGGCCAGGGGAAAGGCTGCCTGTGAAGAGCCCACCCAGGACCTCGCCGAGGGCAGCTGCGGCCTCTCTCTAGGCCTTGAGGGGCCGTCTCCCTGGGGTGGGAGTAGCAGCAGGAGCCCGAGTCAAGTCTCAGGAGCGCCCAG